GTAGCTGTCTTCAGTAGAATGAATTGTAGTAGTTGTATTTGGTGAAGCGAGCAGAGCGCAGAGTTGAGCTCAGGTCACACAGATTCTGGTGACTTTATTCACACCACATGTGCGAGCGGCGCTGACAGCATTTCTAATTTACCGTTACATTGGGATTAAATGCAATGAGTTAAATGGACTTAACAGAAAAATCTGCATCTTGTGCCCAGACTGTGCACGCAAATGGAACAGCATGCAACAATTTGGGAGGAAATCAACTGGTAAATCTTTTAAGGGAGCTATGTAAAAACATCTAGGAACCCCATAAATACTAAAAAGTAGTATTAAAGGAGACACACTGTGCCCGGTAGAATTTCACAGCTTCAGTTTTATTGTTGTATGAATGACTGGAAGAACGTAATCAGAATTGTTCTTAGACAATCTGGTTTGGGTCATTTCTATTGTGCATTTAATCCTTTCCTGTCCTCAAATGAACTTGTATTTGCTTTAGGTATGATGTGTGGAAGTGATTCAACTCCAATCTTGATTTTGAAACATTATCATATTTATTTATTTTTGATTTCATTATAGAAAGGACATTTTAAAAAAGTCCCCTTTTCATGCCGTCATACTTTCATTCGATGATGGTTTGATCTTGTGTCAACCTTGTGTATGTCTGGTTGAGTTTCCTCCAGTTTACCCTGCACTATTTGAAAAATCCTCCAGCTCAACAAAAGCAGCAACATCTGGAGAAGGAGCCCTGTCCACAGAGGCATAACATAAACTTAAAGTTGAAGTTAAGGTTAGGTTACATTTTTATTATATATTTTGCGTTACAGGTTCCAGTGTGGGCAGTCTCGTACACTTACAGATTCTGTTAGTGTAAACATATGAACAATATGGAACAATATATTTACCATATTTACAATGGGGTTTTTTTTTTCTCACATTTGACTGAGGGGTGCACAGTGAGGCAGGAGCATGGATCAATAATAACAACTGGATAGAACTCAATGTAAACTAAAACAGCTCGACCTCAGCTGACAGAGAACCTACAGCTTTCTTAAAGATCGGATTTTGTGGGGATTTTAGAGTCCCTTGTCATCCTGAACTATTTTTATTCATAAATCCTTCGGTTTTCTTTAAATCCACAATTTACTGCCACAAACTCTGCTCCTTTTCCTTCCCGCTCTGGCTCCGCTCTACCACTGCTCTGATCAGCAGCTCTGATTGGTCAAAGCACAGCCAAGCCCCGTGCACGTGCATGAGAGCCACACACGTGAATCTGGCGCAGCGCATCATGGGAGCTCGTCCACTGCCCAGAACAGGGAGGACCAGATAATGCCCAAATATGGATGAGTTCCGCTAATCTCTCGGACGTGAGTGACGTGATGCTGTGCAGTGATATTGTACGGATTTGTTAGTTTCTGTTAATCATTGTTATAATATAATAATAATAATATATATTACAAATAGAAATATCCTTTACTGGTAACATGTCTTGCATTAAATTATATTTTGTATTTTTGTGAACAAATGTGTGTCTGTTTCGTACAAAGCACAGCTTGAAAAAATTGACCCAGTGTTGTGTAAATTTCCTTAATGATCCATGGAAACAGAGTTGCACTTTTTGTGTAAGTAAGTCATCTTTATTGATAGACCGCCTTTCACAGACATCTGCGCCTGCGTTAGCCAGGATCCGCCCCAACTGGTTGCTTCAACCAATCCCTTTTCAAACCATGCACAGGTTCTCTTGTTTGCTTTTAATGTAATATTTTTTTCCTGTGAATAATTGTTTGTATATATCTTGTAAATGTTTGAAATTAATATTAACATATTCCGCTGATACAGAACAATAGGTAAATAAGCCGCTCTATAGGTCATATTGATGTGGTGTGAATTTGACTGTGATGAAGTCAGTGCCTGACTCCACAGTTCCCTGCACAACACTGCTCCAGGATGAGATTGATTAATATGGAAAAAACATTTTCATACATCAATGAAACAGTTCAAACCATATTTATTTGTTTGTTAAAATTGGTTTATTGAGTTTTGAACACAAACAAGAAACCACATTCTTAAAGTTGGGTTGTAAATTATAGTGGGTGTCAAAAAGCTCAGTGTAGATTTATCCCCTGTGTATTTAATTATGTCTCGCCAGATTTGAATTGTATTGTATCAGAGCGTGACTGTTTATGAACCCACTCATATATTCTCAACAAGTTGATACAGTACAAAATATTTGTAAGCGAAATATGGTTTATGTCCCCTCCCAACTTTCCCCCTTTTGGTAGCTGCAAATCAATCAGGCTTCTTTCCTCTCCTTATGAACAGGGAAAGTTTTTGTTCTAGTTCTTTGATAAAAGATAAAGAAATCAATTAGGCTGACTCTACCCATCCATGATACAGAAAGGTCTGTCCATCATGTTAGATATACAGTAACTACATGATTACTTCAGAACGTGTTTAATATGTGGAGAGACATGTGTCCCTAAATATGTAAAACCAGTGGCAGACCACGGAAGTCTGTATATCAGACTTTATAGACGAAACATCATCAGCTCACAAGGCTATTTTAGACTCAAACCAGTGATATGATATCCTGATGCATTTGTGCTGCACCTGATAACCTCTGATAATGGTTCAATTGCAAGAGCAAACATTAAAGGAGAGCTTGGATCTCCCTCGTTGAGCGTTCAAGGGCAGATTCTGAGGGGACTTTAGCTTAATGAGACTTGTACAATAATTGTATAGTATCAATAAAGCCCTTACCAAGGCCAAACGTTTTCATAAACGCAGACATGGACACACAAAGGGATTAAAGGCCTTCTCACCATCAAGGGGAACAACAAGACCTTGTGCTTTTGATGAGTTCAATAATGTTTAGCAATTTACTCAAATTTGTATAAGATAAAGTTTTTTTAATTAAGCCTGTCTGGTCCAAGTTAAAGCTGCACTAACTGATTTGGAGAAAATTTCAAACTCCACCCACGGAGTGCTCTGTGCTATTGTTAGCTTTGGGGCTAGCTTCTGAACAATATGGCAATTTTTGCACGTGGATGGCGAGACCATAGAATGATAGAACCGGGAAGCGCAGAGAGGACGAGACTTTCTTTTGGATGGATGTTTCGCTGTGTAAGCAGTAACAAAGACACAGGAAGTTTCAGGTTAGCCTCTGCCGCTTGTTGTGCTAACTCAGCTATCTGTGCTAACTATGGTGCTAACCAGAGACATGTGGCTTTTCTCAAGAAAGCGGGGGCCAGCGGTGCGCTTTGATTGGTCACAATCTGAGACCCGAAACACTTTATTTTCCTTGTTTCACCAAAACTCGATCTAAAATATAACGTCACGCCAGCACAAATCTGCATTACTTATTCTTCAAAAGGATGTATATTCTAATGCACTGCATGGATATGGATAGCATTTTTGTAATGAATACAAAAATAAAGTCAGTCGGTGAAGCTTTAAAGAGGATTGGGAAGTAAACAATTACAATTAAAGTAGCAGTATGTAATATTTGCATGTCAAGTCATCATTAAATGGCCTCCATATTTCAAAAGGCGTTATTAAATCATGCTCTTTTTGAATACATCTTTAACTGATAACAGTAGTTCAGCCGAGATATTTGAATATCAACATTAGTTTTACGACCCGTAAAAGTTGTTATTGTTTTGATGTCCTACCCTCCGCCGTTTCGCCAATCAGGAAGTGTCATGTAAGTCCGTGATCGGGTTGCCAGAACTCCGTGCGGCTCACTAATCTCAGTGGTAAAATAACATGTGGCGCAGAACTAAAAAAGGTCTTGTTATGACTCTCAAATCATTAATGACAAAACAAAGACTAAAACGAGGATTTATATCGGGACGCCTTTGAACAATTGAGACGGCGGATAAAAGTTTACGTGTGATATAGAATTTGCTGGTTTGACTCCGTTCTTCAGAATACTTTTTACTGCGCGAATTGGTGGTCTAGTGGCTAGTACGACGCGCTGACGATGCAGTAACCCGGGTCGATGACAGATTGCTCTAAAAACGGTAAAAGACGAAGGTCAAGAAGTTTTTTTGCAGATTATAGCTTAATTGTAAAAATAATCATTGGAGACCACATGTACCCCAATTAAAATAATGTTAGTCTCTTTTTGATGTGGGACTTAGGTTTGTCTGAAAAATAGGGAATAAATAAAATTGAAAGGTGATATCCTCTTGAGCAAACCCTGATGTTGATACGCTGAAGAAACACGTTCCAACATCCATTCTTCCCACTTCTATTTTGGACATCAATTGCATATTTATTTTTGATAATCTATAATTACATTGCTTTTATTTTGTTTTGTGTTTTTTTTATCTCAAATGTCCAAATATTATTTTTTTTTTTTTACATTCATTCAACATTAGCATGCCTCATGGCAATGTGAACGGAGACAGACAAACAACTGATAAAATAATTCCTTGTGTTTGCTGCTGGATTTGGTGTGTATCTGGCAACCTGAGTCAGGGAGAGTGGGAGAGGACTACAAAATATTGACTGTGACTGCAGTACCACTTTTGGCCAGATTTTTACATACTGTTCCTTTAAAGTTATTGGTTCTTATGAATGGATGGATGATGAAAGGATGTTGGCAGAATTAAACGTAGATTCAAGTGAGTGCAAGTTTATGTTTAAAAGAGGATAATTGAGCTTGATAAGTAACTTCTGTAAGGTTCTGGCCCTTAGCCATCTGGACCACTAGCCTTTCCACTTTGCAGGCTTTTGATTGCACTTAATTTTTTTTCTTTTGATATTGGCTCAAGCTAAAACCGGCAGATTACAGTGCTAAAGTATAGGGAAAAGAGACTTATTGCAGAAGTCGTGTATATTTTTATTTGTAAATATGCTTTTCGCCTGAAAACTTTTCACTGTGCTCTGTAAATACGTTTTTTGTCATTTCCCACTGTTTTTTCTACTGAGAGTTTTTAATTAAAAGGGTTCTGAAAACGCCCTTTCCGACCCAGCCATGTGTTCTGTAAAAAGAACCCTCACATATGGTGGGATACGATCGGGAAACACGAAGGGCTCGGAACGAAGTGTGGAAATGTCTGAAGATGGATCAAGGAGAGCTACAGGGCGACAACCGGTGGCTGAGCAGGTGTCCGGAGAGACGGCCTGGCTGGACAGCGGAGGGAAGCGGAGCGCGTAATGCCGCCGAGCCTCCGAGGACTGTGAGCGGCTGAACCCCCGAGGCCCGCTGCCTCTATCACTGCGTGAGAGACGTCTTAAGTTCGTGGACCCAGCGACTTCACCAGCTGGGAGGAGCAGGACCCGGGTGAGAATCAAGCAGAGACTCACGGTCGCTATATTCGCCGGATCGCTCCAGGGGGGGCTGAGGGGCACGCTAGGAGCCAGCGTACTCAAGCTGCGGGTTTGGTCCGTGGTGGTGCGGACTATTGAGAATGAGGAGTTGACGTCACGGCACAGAGTCCCCCCTCCCCATCCCCCCTTTGCCGACATATTGGCTGCGCACCGGTGGCGGCAGTACAGTTTGTTTACGTGTGTTGTGAACGCGGTAGTAGCGGAGGTTCTTGCTATTCCGCACTGTTTTATCATGCCTGGAAATAACTGCTGCGTTAAAAACTGCTCCAATACCTCCCACGATGGATATGGAAAACCTAGTAACAACGGGATACAGTTTTTTAGGTTACCGAAATGGAAAAAGCATCAAGGGGAGCAATTCTCTGACCTGACAAGGAGACGTCGGATTGCTTGGTTGGCTGCAATTAGAAGAAAGGACCTTACTTTCGATCACACACCCCTGTCGACGAGAGTGTGTTCTCTGCATTTTCACTCTGGTACGTTCTCTAAAAATGTATTTATGTAGTTGTCTCTTAAAGCTAGGAAGTGTAGGTTAGCATATGTTATTATGGTTTCTGTAGTGCCTTTGTCTCTGTGTCTTTGTTACCCTCTCAGGCTGTTTCTTACTTAGCACGTGTTCTGCGAGGTCTTTGCCAGTGTAAAGCATAGATTACATAGATTGTACACATAATCTAATTATTCTGTTGTACATAAACCTTCATATGACATTATGAGGTGACCTAAAAAGTACTTGAGATGCTGTTCATGACATAGTTGCCAGTTTAAAGCATTGATTACATAGATTGTGTAAATTATTATATTAATTATATGTTGTTATTATTCTCGTGTAGGTAAACCAGCATATGAGATGTTGGAGAACCACCCTGACTGGACACCATCCCTGTTGTTAGGCCACAATGATGTACAAAAAACAGATGAAGCGAGATATCAGCGGCAAGTAAGGCGCAGGTCCCTGCCACTGGAGCGGCAGCCACCTCCAGCCCAACACCAGCCGCAGGCGCCGCCGCCTCCAGCCCTAGACCAGCTGCAGCCGCCACCAGCCCTAGACCAGCTGCAGCCGCCACCAGCCCTAGACCAGCCGCAGGCGCCGCCGCCACCAGCCCTAGACCAGCCGCAGGCGCCGCCGCCACCAGCCCTAGACCAGCCGCAGGCGCCGCCGCCACCAGCCCTAGACCAGCCGCAGGCGCCGCCGCCGCCAGCCCTAGACCACCGCAGCCGCAGCGCCGCCGCCGCCGCCAGCCCTAGACCAGCCGCAGGCGCCGCCGCCGCCAGCCCTAGACCAGCCGCCAGCTGACCCGGACATGGAATGTGGACTCTGCACATCTAGACGAGATGTTATCAACAATCTTCTTGAAGAAAACAGACAGCTGAAGCGTGAGCTTGATACGTACCGGATGAATGAGAACTTTCTGAGTGGTGATGATAACACAGTGAAGTATTACACGGGGCTTCCAAACTTTGCATTGTTCCAGACACTTCTACTCTACCTAACTCCAGATCTGCCTCAAGGTAGAATGAAGAAGCTCTCACCCTTCCAGCTTGTCCTATTGACTTTAATGCGCCTCAGACTGGACCTTCCAATACAGCACCTCAGCCATCTGTTTAGAGTACATAGGACAACAGTCGCCGATGCCTTTCACCATACCCTTGGTGTGATGTACGCACAGCTGTGTCCATTGGTGCACTGGCCAAGTAGGGAATGCTTATTGACCAGTATGCCACACCAGTTTGTGGAGTCATTTGGGAACAATGTGGCTGCCATTGTGGACTGCTTCGAGGTGTTCATCGAGAAACCTTCCAATGTACTAGCAAGGGCACAGACTTTTTCTCAATACAAACACGCATACACTATGAAATACCTAATCGTGATCACGCCCCAGGGTGTAATTTCCTTCATATCGAACGGGTGGGGTGGGCGCACAAGCGACAAGCATATAACCGAGCAAAGTGGTTTCCTGAACAAGCTGTTACCAGGTGACATTGTGCTGGCAGATAGAGGCTTTAATATAAGAGAACATGTGGGCATAATGTGTGCTGAAGTGAAAATACCTACATTCACCAGGGGTCGTGCTCAGCTTGAGGCGAAAGATGTGGAGGAGACTAGGGCCATAGCACATCTCAGAATTCACGTGGAGAGGGTGATCGGTGTTGTGCGCAACAAATTCAAATTCTTACACTCAACTGTACCTGTGCACATGCTTGTCAAATGTGAGGGTGAAAACCTAATGCCTTTGGATAAGATTGTCATTGTTTGCTGTGCCTTAACGAACATGTGCAAAAGTGTTGTTTGAGTACCTTATTCTTTACTGTATCTTTTATTTTTAAATAAATGCATGAAACAACTTGATATGTTTTACCAATATTTATTGAGAAATGAATATTTTTTTTGTTACAAACGTGTGCAGTCAAAGTACTGTTTCCAGCATGTAAACATGCCCAACATAGGTAAAAATGATAATAAGAGTCATACTTTTCTTAGTGCAAAGGGACACAAAACACTGCTAAACAACGTGTGCATTCAAAGTACTGTTTCCAGCATGTAAACATGCACAGCATAGGCAAAAATGATCATAAGAGTCATACTTTTCTTAGTGCAAAGGGACACAAAACACTGCAAAACAACGTGTGCATTCAAAGTACTGTTTCCAGCATGTAAACATGCACAACATAATAAAATAAATTATAACATAAATAATAATAACAAATAAGACTGTTATTAGTGCAAATGTACAAAAAAACACTGCAAAGGCACACAGCAATAACAATAATACAATTTTAAGAAATAGGAAAAACCTATTCTGCACAACAAGGGCAAAACCATGGCGTGTCACCAGAGGGTTTATTAACAAGCCCCACACAACTGAAGTGAAACCACTGGACTGGGCAGTTCTGGTTGTCACAGGCTTATCTCTAAGCATTGTTTTACTGTCTTCCTTTCCCTTGTTGTATCAGTAGATCCGTCTCTGTCTCGCCGAAAACGTAAATGCGTATAATTTAAAGTGCTCTGGAATATGAGGAGCGCGTGAAATTCTGGGGGCGTGCCCCCGTTGCGCAGCCAATATGTCCGACAGGCTCAGAGCCCCCCCCAAATCACCCCAACTCGGCACGTGACTCCTCATTCTCAATACGGTTTCCCCACAGTGTCAACCTTCCAGAGAGGAGGGATAATGTGACGGGGTGAGTCCGTCCCTGAGCACACTGTCCCACGGAGCGCATCTGAAGTTGCGCGCGCCCGGTGCCATGGTGGCTGTGCGCCGCAGCCAACCCATTAATTGACTACTGGTAGTAAGGATTGTGTTTGTGACATGTAGCGTGTGGTAACGCGTCTTCAGGGTGCACACTTGGGGCAGTTATGGTGCGTTCAGACCAAACGCGATTTCTGCGGCCAAATCGCGTATATCGCGCGGCTTGAGCCGCTTGTGACAAATTGTGACAGCCGCTGTCACAGAGAAACTTGGCCACGCGGCCAGGACACTAGAGGGCAGCCGCTGTCACAGAGCGTTGAGAGCGTTTAGGGGCGGGGCTTGTCTCTTTTGCCTGTAGCTTCCCAAAATGGATGTCAGCGAAGGAGTTGCTTGGCTCTATCTAATAAATAAAGCCAGACAGCGTCGTCAAAGGGCGAATCGACGACGTGTCTGGATTCACCAGATAGTCCGTAGACGGTTGGAGTTTGGTGAGTTTCACCATTTGCTCCGGGAGCTGCGCTCGGATGAGGGTCGCTTTCAGCGGTACTTTCGTCTCTCCCTGGCCCAGTTTGACGACCTACTGACCCGCATTGGCGCAAGGATCACCTACCAGGACACCAACTACAGGCGCTCTATTCCAGCTGAAGAGCGCCTGTCCATCTGTCTGCGGTTAGTGTTTTTTACCCCATTCGGAATTCCTAAATACTTACAAAGTTTGTCATTTTTCAATCACAATCCACAATGTAATAGCTCAGAAAACAGTATTATGCAACAATATGGTGTCTATGATTACTGTCTATGATGTTTACTGTCTACTAGTTTAACGTATTTTATGCTACACAAGTTTTGTCACGTGATTTTTATGAATGTAATTGTGATAAATATGTTCATATCATTTTGTAATTGCAGGTTTCTTGCCACTGGGGACTCCTACAGGACCATTGCGGGGAGCTTCAGAGTGGGCATATCCACCGTCTCCATGCTCATCCCAGATGTGGTGGCAGCCATCTGGGACTGCCTCGTGGAGGACTTCATGGCTGTGCCTGGAGCAGAGGAGTGGAGGTCCATAGCGCAGGACTTTGAGGTCCGATGGAAGTTCCCTCTGTGCTGTGGGGCCATTGATGGGAAGCATGTGGCTGTGAAGGCACCCCCCAACTCTGGGTCCATGTTCTTTAATTACAAGGGGCACCATTCCCTTGTGCTCCTGGCTGTAGTGGATGCCCAGTACAGGTTCAGGGTCATTGATGTGGGAGGGTACGGCAGATCCAGCGATGGAGGCATCATGGCCAACTCTGCCTTTGGTGAGGCTCTGCGCGAGGGCACACTCGACCTGCCTCCTGACCAGTGCATACCTGGAGCTGACCACAGAGGACCCCAGCCCCATGTGTTCGTGGCAGATGAGGCCTTTCCACTGCGCCGCAATTTAATGCGCCCTTTCCCTGGACGTGGTGGCCTTACCCCAGAGCAGCGCACCTTCAACTACCGCCTCTCCCGGGCCCGGTTAGTGGTGGAGGATGCATTTGGGATTTGGTCTGCGCAGTGGAGAGTGTTTCGCCGTCACCTGGAAGTCTCCCCAGAAGTTGTGGAGAAGTGTGTGAAGGCCACTTGTGTCCTTCACAACTTCATGAGGATGGCTGGAGATGGGCAGGTTCCTGCACTGAGGGGAGCTGCTGCCGGTGAAGAACCACTTCCAGGCGTGCAGCGGATGGGCGCCAACAACGCGACCAGAGAAGTAGTGGACATAAGGAAGGTGTTCATGGACATAATAATGTACATTATTATGTACATTTAAATGATTTGTTCATATGAAAGGGAAAAGTGAAATTTAACACAACACATGATCAAGATCTATCCTGGTTTGAAAATAGCCAATGCCTATTTTCACCTGGCCATGATGTTAAGAAAGCATTAAAAGAAATGCATACACAGAAAGCAATATAAATGTAAAAGTCAGCAAAATGTGGGTAATAAAAAGGACTGTTCGAGGTCTCTGTTTGCTGCATGACACCGACCTTCAGCACCTGACAGCCCTGCTGCTTCTGCTTCCTCTGGCTCTTCTTCTGGGTGGTTGTACCCTGTGGTCTGCTCCTCCTCGGCCCTTCGCCTTGGCATGTTCCCGGAGCTGTCACGGGGAGTGATGTAGGGCTCGAGGAAGGACATGACCACAAGGTACTTCCACGTCTGGCCTTTCCCTGCTTCTGCACCACTCTTCTTCACCTTTTCCTTCTCCTTCCTGCTCTCCTTAGCATATGTGTCCCTCAGGTTCTTCCACCGCTTTTTGCAAACTTCCACTGAATAAACACATCAACTCGTAAGCGGGAAAGTAGTAGTTTTTTTCGCGGGGAAATATTTACTGTGAAAAGTTAAAATAACTTACCCGAGACACCAACGACCTCGCTAACCCTCCTCCAAGCAAGCTCCTTTTTATTTCGGTCCCGGTAGCTGTGGTCTGCAGTGTTGTATAGCTCAGAATGAGCACCGACCTGAGCTATTAACGTGTCCTCCATGATCTACTGTCATCTACTAGTGTTTTCCCGGTAGTGAAATGCGTCACTACGTCACTGGAGGAGAAAGCTCCTGATTGGTCGGCACACGCGAATTCTCCCAAAAAGTTCAACAATGTTCAACTCTAGCGGCGGCCGCGTTGGA